CTGGCCTCGGGGCAGTGCTCCACCTCCTGAATCTCCAGGCCCTGCCGCCCCGGCGTCTGCTGAGCCCTCCGCCCTCCACCCTCTCACCCCTGCACCCACGGGCTTGGGCTGCATTCTGCCTTCCCAGGCCATGCTCCAGCCGTGGCCTCGGCTTGGTGACCCCTTCCTTCAGGAAGGCCGCTGGCCCTCCAAAGTCAGAACGGGTGCTCCTGCCCTGGGCTCCGTGGCCTGGGGCCGTCCAGATCACGGCACCTGTCTCATCCTGCAGGCCTGGCTGACCCCTGCCTGCCGAGTCCACTTGCAGCCCCGCCTCCGCGTCTCTGTGCCCTGGACACTGGAGACACGTGCTGGGAGAAGAGTGGAGGGAGAGGTGGTGAGGCACCATCTAGGACACAGAGCCCGTGATGGGGGCTGGCTCCTCTTCCAGGCCTCCCCCAACGGCTCCCTCTGCCTACCCAGGCAGGAGGGCCCCTTTCCACCCCACCAGTGCCCACCTCACGCCTCCTCCAGCTGCAGTGGACAGTGGTGCTAGGACCCACTGCCCTTGGTGCAAGCCGCAGGCTTCCTCCTCTCTTCCCAGCTTTGCCCAGGCGCTGACCACCTGTTTCAGACCCTGTCGGGTCAGCCAGAGCTCTGACCCACTCACCTACCCAGGAGAGATCAGCAGATTCCCTTTTGGCCCAAATCCCTGTGAGTTTTTCACAAGTATCTTTGAGGAAAAAAGTTTTATTGAGATAAAATTCACAAACCGGACCCTTCACCCACCTGAAGCCTGCAATTCGAGGTCCTTGGAAATCTGTCCTCAAGCTGTGAGCTACCGTCCCGTGACCCACCTTCTCAGCACCCGGAAATCTCCCTCCCCCGCGTCACCCCAGCCCTGGGTCCACCGATGGCTCTTCCCCGAGGCTCTGTGCGTCCTGGAGCCCTGAGGCACGTGGCCTCCCGTGCCTGGCTGCCCTCCCTCAGGCTCTGCCTGGGGTGGGTCCAGTCGTGGCGTGTCTGCTCCGGGCCCTTCTGAGGCCCGTGCCCACGCGGACGGACCATGAGTCACTTGCTCACCAGCGGGTGGCCGGGGTGTCTGCACCCTGGCTGTGCGAGCCTTGTACAAGGTTTTGGACGGACCTGAACATTGACCCTCTCTGGTGTGTGCCCAGGAGAGGAGCTGCGGGGTCCTCAGTTGCTGCTGCTGTGTAGCCCAGCTGGGCCCGGGGCTCGCCCTCTGCGTCCTCCTGGACACTTGCTGTCTCTGTCTTTGGCGACGGCACCTGGCGAAGGCAGTGCTCCCTCCGGGCGGCTGTGCTTTGTGTTGCCCTGGCGACCAGCGTGCTGGGCGTCGTCCCCTGGGCTTGCTGTTTGACCCGTAGCCTCTTTGGAGGACCATCTGCTCAGCCCCATCACCCACTCTACGGTCCGCGCCTCACTGTGGCGCACAGGGTTTCCTACACGCGGGTCCGGGTCCAGGCCAGGCCCACGAGGGAAGCACCTTCGTCCTTCTGAGAGTTTTCCCTCTTCCTTTGTTTGGAGGTCCTGGGGATGGAACCCAGGGCCTGGTGCACGCAAGGCAAGTGCTTTACCAACCAAGGCCTCCCCAGCCCAGAGCTCTTTCCTTTCTCCAGTGTGGTTCCCAGCACAGCGTTTGATATCTATGTCTATCTATATTTTTTTCTTTTTGGAGGGAGGGCACCAGGGATTGAACTCAGAGGCGCTTGACCGCTGAGCCACACCCCAGCCTTATCTGTATGTTATTTAGAGACAGAATCTCATTGAGTGGCCGAGGGCCTTGCTGACGCCGAGGCTGGCTTTGAGCTGGCCATCCTCTGGCCTCAGCCTCCCGAGCTGCTGGGACTGCAGGCGAGCGCCACCGCTCTCGGCCAGCGTTTGATTTTGAGGTCTCTCTTTCCCTAGGTTGCTGCTTCTTCTGCTGTGTGGCCCGGGGACTGCCCAGCCTCCGCGTGGACAGTCCTGCCTGCCCTTCCCTTCTGCCCCTGCACTGCCTCCTCTCAGTCCTTGTAGGACCAAACACCGCAGGTGACAGCCATGCCCTTCAGGTGGCCTCCACACTCTGAGGATTCAAGACCATCCCACCCCACGAAGCGCCTGTGGCCAGGAGTGACCGGCTCTGAGCCAGGCCATCCTGTCCCCACTGTGGCCAGAGCTGAGAGGACAGGCGAGGGTTTCCCAGAGAAAGGGCCCATCCCAAGAGGCAGGATGGCCCCCAGGAGGCTGGAGGTGGGCAGCAGCATCACAGCAGGCCTCAGGTCAGCTCCAGCCTCTGGTGGCCAAAGACTGGCGTTTCCTTGAATCTCCGCCCGCGTCAGCCCTGCGAGCGCCTGTCCGCCTGGAGCGGGCAGAAGCTGGCCTGCCTGGGGCCCACTGGGTTCTTGGTGCTCTGCCCCTGCCCCCAGACCCTTCACCCCAACACCAGCCACTGAACGTCCCTGAGACAAGAAGCTGAGCTGGTGACCCAGACCACAGGCCTCGGCCAGCCGGGCTGAGTTAGGGCTCTGAGAAGCTCAGCAGGTCAGCAGCAAGGGCCGATGCTGGTGGGGGGAGGCGGTCAGCAGAGGAATCCCTGGGTCACTGGGGGCTCCCGAATGTCCCCACTCTGTGCCTTGCGGCTGTGTGGCTATGGGCAAGTTGCTGGGCCTTTCTGAGTCAGCACATGTACAATGGGAAGAGGAAATCCCCTGCTCCCTGCCCGGGGTGAGGCCAGGCACACTGCCACTGCCACTGTGGCTGCTCACCTGGTGGCGAGTGATGACAGTTGCCGTTGCCAGACGGACACGATGTGCAGGGACCACCCTGACCCTGTGTGGAGGCAGCCAGGAGGTGGGGGCGGAGCAAGACGGGGAGCCTGGGCAGCCTCCCGTCCTGACACGTTCACAGCGTAGGGGCTCCTGTGGTGACCAGGTGTCATCATAGAGACTGAGCCGAACAAGACGGTCACAGCAAAGGACAGGCCAGCGTCCACTGTCGAGCGGCAGTGACGGCGGGCGGCAGTGGTCTGGTTGGCCCAGCCACTTTTCCGATGCCACTGGAGTGTCTTACTGCGTCAGGACGAGCTGCGGTGGCCGCCCTGGGTCCCGGGCTCCTGCCACTTCATCCGGTTGCCTTCAGGAGCCCCACTCCAGGGTGGCGCGTGTCTGTCCGTAACTGTGAATGACAGCAAGCGTCCGTGGGCTCACACCCTTTGTGCAATGTCCCAGAGTCACCTCCTATCTGGGCTGTCGAAGGCAGAGGTGGCAGAAGGCCCGCCAGCCCTGGGGCCCGAGTCCCGGCCACCCTGGGTGTCCTGCTTCTCTGCATAGATGTGGGCGTCAGGAGCTCTGGACACACTGATGCCAAGTCCCCACGGTGAGTCACCCAGGGCAAGGGGAGAGCCTCGCTTCCTGTTCCGATCCCTGCCCTGGGTCCCCAGCAGCACTTCCTGGAGTGAGGGCCTCCCGGCTGCCCGCAGGGATGCCAGCTGAGGGGCACACAGGTTCCACCTCGATGGCAGCAGAAACACTAGCAGCAAGCCGAGCGGAGGGACCCAGGCAGCAGCCTTGCAGCAGACAGGCCCCAGGGCTACCCTGGAGCCCGGGTGCCCCTGGGGTCTGGCACTCTGCAGCCAGGGAAGGTGCCGCTCCGTGTGGCCAGGCACCGCTGGGCTGCTGCAGCTGCAGGGTGGGCACCGGATCTGTGGCTGGCCATACGTGGCCACAGCCACTCCGGCCAGCCCACTGGGATGGACAGGTGCACCTGAAGGCGAGGAGGGTGGCTGCTGGCACAGGGCCAGGGGCTGCCTGTCTGGGTCTGGCTCTGAGCTCTGCCTCGTCCTGGGGGGTGGCTGGGCCACTGGGAAGGCAGGAGGCGGAGCCAGCAGGCACAGCTGCTAGGACACCGAGTCACTGTCCCACATGTCCCCACGGGGGTCTCTGGTCCTTCCTTCAACAGACGCCAGAACGTGCAGGGGCGCTTTTCATGCCTGCCGCCGCTCAGCCCGCCCCAGCGGGGTCACCTGGACTCCCGCTCCATCACAGGTCCCGCAGGTCTGGGGCCAGCTCTGCACTTCACAGGCACACTGCCTCCGCTGGCCCTCAGACCCCACCTGAGCAGCCAAGGCCCTCCCTGGACCCTCAGCCCCTCCCTGGACCCCTCTCAGGAGGCCTGCGGCAGGCCAGGCGGGACGCCTGCTTGTCCCGCTCCCGGATGTGGCCGGCCAGTCTCCGGCCTGGCTCCTGCCCTCTCTGCAGTACCTGAATCAGCCCTGGTCCTGCGTCCAGCTGGGCTGTCTCTGTAGCCAGTTCTTGCCAACCTGATCCCCCTCCCCCCAGAAAGGATCAAGGAGGAGGCTGTCCTCAGGGAGGCCCGGTGGCCGAGGCCCAGCGGAGGTGGCCCCCGTGAGGGCTCCAGGGCTGGCCTGCGGCCTCGGTGCCCTGGCGGCTGCGGACTGTGGATGGAGGGAGACCCCGTCTGGCTGCGAGCGACTGTGCAGCTCTGTGCTGGGAATCGAGCCGGTGCCGCGCCAGCCTGCAGATGCCCGCCCGGCCTGGAGCCTGGCGGGCGGTGGCTTTCCCCTGGGTGAGTGGGGAGCTCTGGTTCCCACGGAAACACGAGGTCACGACGTTTGGGCACAGTTCACGCTCTCAGAGGCAGGTGGGTGTGGTCTGAGTTGGTCCTCACTCAAACCTGCAGGGCAGTTTCTGCACCGCCCAGTGCCAGGACAGGACGCTGGCGAGCCCCCTCGCCGCTGTGCTGCTCACAGGGCATCTAGTGCCCCAGCAGGAGGGCTGGGCCCTCATCCCACCTGGGCAGAGCATCTCCTGAGGGTGCCTGGCCCTTCCGAAGGGCCTCCAGGTGACCTTCCGGAGCAGCTGTGCCTCGTGAGCAGGCCCCAGGGCCACGAGCCCCGAGGACCAAGAGCCAGCCCAGGGGAAACCGCCCTGGGCACAGAGTCGTCTCCTGTGGGGGTGGGTCCTGGGGAGGAGCCATGGGGTGGGGGGGGGGGACAGGCCAGACTGAGAGCTCCCAGAGGAGGAGAGGGCTGGCCCCGTGCGAGAGGGCACACCCACCCCAGGAGACTGACAGCGTGCAACACCAGCCGCCCAGCCTTTCGGGTCAGGAGGAGCAGCCCAGCACCTGGCCCCACGTCTGGCCCCACATCCAGCGTTGCGGCCCCTCTGAGGAGTCCGATGGGGCCCATCAGGGGGTTCTGGTGAGGAGCGTTGGCGCCACACACCACGAAGGTGGGGGAGGGACCTAGGATGAGGCATCCGGGGAGCAGGCCGGGCCTCCATGGCCAAGGAAGCGGCCTGAGGGGTCCAGGACAGGAGAGCGGCGTGGGCCTCCCTGTGGCAGGGGTGCAGGGCGGCATGGGAAGGAGGGGGTGTGGGAAGGAGTCGGGGCTTCGGGCCTCCTGCAGCACCCAGGGAGGGTTCCAGCCTCGGGGGCAGCTGGTCCTGCAGCAGAGGGAGGCCGAGGCCGGGAGCTGCCGCCACCCCACCCCAGGAGCGCACAGTCAGGCTCTTTGGCACATCTGCAAGCCCTGGTCCCTGTTCCAGGTCAGTGCTGGACCTTGAGCGTGTGACATGAGGCTCAGAGGCACCCGTGACAGCAGCACATCCCAGGTGTGCACCTGCCACCCAGGGAGCGTGCCAGCCTGCGGGCGGCTCAGCCAGGCCCCAGAGCGTCCTCCTGTCCCCCGTCAGAGCACACTGGAGAGGTCACATTGTGAGCAGTTGGGCACGTACCAGACTGCACGTACCACCCGATTAACAGATGCTCCTCTCTCCTGGGTTTGCTCAGAGTGTTTTTGAAGATCAAAGTTGGAGAGAACTGATATCTCCCCAAATCCTTCCCTCCCCGCTCCCCAAGGAGACTTGTGCTCCACGTCACTGCACGCCGCCGTTCCTGGACCCCTGTCCACCCCGTTCTGTGCACCGACCCCGAAGCTCCGTCCTGGGGGCTCCGGGAGCCAGTGGAGGCCCAGGTGTGCAAGCAGCTCACTGGTTCCACTCAGGGGAGACTCGCGTGGCCACCGTGCTCCCTGGGCTCCCAGGCTTCCCCTGCCCTCTCTCCATGGAAACGCCTCAGGTGGTGGACCACACTGTCCCCACCAGCCTGCGAGGCCTGGCAGTGGCAGGACCTGGGGCTGGACAGGCCTCAGACTCTAGACCCACTGACCAAGGGCAGAGGCAGCGTGGCACCTGTGCCCACCAGGGCCCACTGAGGTGCATGCCTGGCTGGGGCCCCTGTTCTGGCCTCTCCCTCCTCCCTGCTCCCTGCTCCCTGCTCTGGGATCGCCCACTGTGGGAAGCCAGCTGCCTGCTGCAGTTCCCATGGACTCCCACAGAGAGCCGGTGAGGAGCCAGGCCCGCCAGCAGCCCGGAGGGTGTGGGGGTGCAGCCTCCGCTGGGGGCGCCGCCCCCCACCTGCCCGGGGACCCCAGCCAGGCAGCTCAGGAAGGAGCTTGGATCCTAACCCACAAAAACCGTGAGGTGCTCATCGATTGCTGTGGTGAGCCCCAGGGTTTGGGTAGCTGACACACCCACCGGGCGTCCGCAGTCCCCTGAAATAAACTCAGGGGCAGCCCCCATCCATCACAGACTGCCCGGGGCCCTGGAGTTGTGCCTGTCCTGATCTGCCCCCACCCCTGCTTCTGTGTCCAGCTGAAATTCCCTTAGTGTGAAATTGACCATCTTCACCACTTGAAAGTGACATTCACTACAGTCAGCGTTGTCGACCACCTCCCAGGAAACCCGTCCCGTGAGAAGCCACTGCCACCCCACCTCTGCCCCCACCCCCAGGAAGACGCAGGTCAGGTGAGGCTGAGCCGGGCCAGGCCTCTGGACCTCAGGCAGGGCAAGTGCTGGGTGGGCCTGGGGGAGCACGCCCCATCTTGAAGGTCCTGGTGCACACTTCATGAGGTCCAGTGCATGACGTGTGCCAGCACGTGCGTCTGTGTGTCTGACTCATGTCGACTTGTGCATCTGTGTGTCATACATGCATGTATGTTGTGCACACATGTGTGTCACATGCCCGTGTGCTGGCACAGGTGCTTGTGCACACGTGTGTGTGTGTGCACATCTTACAGATATGGAGAGCTTATTTTGGGCTCACCGATATTGTAAAAGCTTTTTTATTTATTGACCCATTCAATCCTCACAGTCACCCTATATGGACTCCTCCCACTATCCCCACTTTACAGAGGAGGAGCTGAGGCTCAGAGAGGCAGAGTAGCTTTCCTGGAGCCCCACAGTGGTTGGACAGTGGCCAGCAAAGCCCGGGGGGCCTGAGTCTGGAGCCCCTGCTCTGGACTGAGCCATCTGATCTATCTGAAGGTTAAACAGCCTCTGATCCAAACCCCCCTCCTGCCTAGTCCACGTGCTCTTAGCTCTCAAGGAAGGGAAGGGGGGGTATCTTGTGAAGGGGCTTTGGGGACAGGTCTGGCGGGGCCTCCCCTTCCCTGGCTGCCTGGGGTAGGGGACCCGGAGTCCTGCAGACCTTTTCCGTTCGGTGCAGGCGCAGGGAGCTCTGAGCTTCTCTGGTGGCTCTGGCCAGCACTTGCATCTGACTGGAGTCCCGCCTGTGGTCAGGGCTGTGGCCACCCCAGGCCACTCCAGCCTGGCTGCTCGTTCCTCAGGGGGGCGGTGGCCTTTGCTGTGGAGTGCCAGTGGAAAGCAGAGAGCCAGAGTGACCGGAAGGCTCATCCTGCAGGGGAGCAGGCCCCGGGGTGCCGCACTCAGGCCTCCCTGGGCGGCTGGACAGGTCCAGGCTCCTCCTGCACCAGAGCCGGGGATGGGGCTGCTTGGAGTTCTCCTTGGATCAACCTGCTTTCCCCCGCGAGTCTTAGAAAATGGTTCCGGTGTGTGGCATATTCACAGGAGGCAGCGAGCAGACAGATCTGGCTCCCTCCCTGGTCCCGCCACAGCAGGAGAGGAGCAGAGGAGCGGCTCCGTCGTGGTCCTCAGAGCTGAAACGGGGCAGCTAAAATGACTCTTGCAACAGCTGCCCTCGCAGCAGGAGTCCAGGCTGGAGGTGGACGGGAATGTTCTACGGCTGAACCCGCTGCTGGTCACACGGGGTCTTCAGGTGTGCCTCAGTGGTGAGCCCTGGGCTCCATCCCCAGCGCAGCAGAAACAAACAAGACCCCCTCTCTGAGCTGCACGTGTGGGTGTTCAGCAGCACCAACCTTCACCCGCCACCCCTCCCCACCCTGCTCCCAAGCCATGGCCCTCACCGACATCTGGGGGTTCCTTACTGATATCTCCAATTTCCCAGGAGATAGTAAGTCCTGAAGCTGGATGTGGGGGCCCCACCCTGCACCCTCCTACCAAGCAGCCCCCTCCCAAGTCGTTGAAGCTCAGGTCTCAACTTAGTCTTTAGCTTGTTTTTCCAATTGGTTTAATGCAAACACCTTCCCAAACCAAGAAATAACAGTTGTGCCTAAATATAACCCAAATATAGGGGATGCCCAGAAGAATCCTCCCAAGGACTTCTGTGCATCGTGACTGTATAAAGCAGATGTCAGTGGACAAAGGTGCAGGATGCTTATGAAATCTGGGACATTACGTTAGAAATGCAACTCCCAGGGCCATCTGCGTTTTGTTTTATTTCCTGTATGTTTACGGTGCTGATTCAGTAGAGACGCATTATTGAAGTGGTGGGATAACAGGAGAACTTGTGGTAGACACCGATCAAGCCGTCTCCTTCTACTCCTGGGAATACAGGGGACGCCATTTCCCAGCCCCCCTTGCAGTTGAGACTGTCATGTGACAGTCTGTTCAGTGGGATCCGGGCTGTGACAGTGGACACCCTCCCCGCCTGGCCTGAGAAACTCCCAGCCATCCCTACCTACCCGGACGCCAGGACTCACCCCAGACACTGAGGCCCGGGGGACGGTGGACCCCCACCACTGAAGGGGCCTGGGCCACCGCCAGCTGCCAATTGAGATTCGTGGAGAAAGAAAGCCTGGTGCATGGCTTCAGGCCAGGGCGGTGGCGCAGGCGACCTCCTGGTCCACACCTCAGGCACGGAAGGTGCTTCCCGCTTCTCTCGAGTCCCACCACCTCTGTGTCCCCCACGTCAGGCACGGTCCCAACTCAGTTTCCTACGTTACCTCCTCTTCCTGGGCTTCTGAGCTTGAGAGCATCCGACCCGCTCAGGACACCCAGGATGGACGGCTGCTTTCCTCCTGTCAGACGTTCACATCGCGAGCTGATCCCAGGCGGTCTCACACCGCGGGCAGCAGACACTTCTGGACGTCTGATTTCTGCTGTCGACTGAGCAACCTGGACGCCTGCCTTCCAGGGGGTCCTTGTGGGAGACGTGGCTCCGCAGGTGAACCGAAAGTCTTCAGGGCTCAGGAGGAAGAGGCTCCGAGCAGTCCCCTTCCTCACTGTGTCCTGTGGCGGCTCAGGGACCGGCCAGCTTTGTTCATGTTTGAACTGTGCAGCCTCCGTCAAGACTGCGGGATCTGCCAGGCACGGTGGCCCACGCCTGTCATCCCAGCGGCTCGGGAGGCTGAGACAGGAGGATGGCGAGGGCAAAGCCAGCCTCAGCAACAGCGAGGCGCTAAGCAACTCAGAGAGACCCTGTCTAAATAAAATTCAGATGGGGCTGGGGTGTGGCTCAGTGGTCGAGGGCCCCTGGGTTCAGTCCCCAGGGCCAAAAAATAAAAAAAGACTGTGGGCTCTGCAGCAGCCGTGTGGACACGTGAAAGGACAGGCTCTGCTCCAAGAGACGGCCCGTACTCAGCTGCGGGCAGCTGGATTCCACCCCCAGGCCGAGGTCTGCGGCCAGGCTCACCTAACCTCTGAGAGCCTGGGGCTGGACAGGGGAGGGCTTGAGTGTTCAGCGCTGCTGGGTCCAGTCCCACCTGGAGGCCGACCTGCGATGGCTCTGGGCGAGGGTTGCTAGCTTCTCCTTGGTGAAGAGGAGACTACAGGAGTCCCTGCCCTCCCCGAGTGCTGGGGATGGCCAAGCTGGCCAGGACAGGCTGCCCAGTGGCTGCATGCTAGTAGACGAGGGCTCTTGTCCCTCCGGAAGGGACGGGGACCTGCTCCTTCCAGCTGGGGAGGCAGGAGCCGGCCCTGGAGAGAAGCAGAGGTAATTACCGAGGCAGATCCCCTGGGGCAGGAGGGAAGGGACTGAGAGCCAGCAGAGGAAGCCAGGCAGGGAGGGTGGCCGGGGCCTCTGCAGCAGGAGGGACACGCAGACCAGTGGAGCAGGCTGTGTCCCTGGGCTCTGCCGTCCAGGCAGCAGGGAGCAGGTGGCTGTTAGCACTGTGTCCCCGTCCTTCACACCGCCGGGCGCACAGTAGGTGCTCCACAGTCACTGGATGGACAGATGGGAAGGAAGAAGGGACGGTTGCTGTCGCCCCCGACACTGAGCAGTCAAAGGGGCCGAGCCTGTTGTACAGGCGCAGAGGGCAGAGCGGGGCCACTCGGCCCATCACAGCGGTGCCTGCAGCCAGCCGGCCACCTCCCCTGGCCTGCGGGAACTCACCTGGGCTGAGGTTCCTCAATCCACAGGGAGCTGGGAGTGACCTCACCTCCCTGAAGCTTCCCCTGGGGGAAGCCCGGGCCCAGGTGGGGAGGACGGGTGCTCTGGGGCGCCCAGACGGGGACATCGGTGTGGACGACAGGAAATGCCCAGGCCAGGCCAGCACCTGCCCACCTGAGCTCAGGATGTTTCCCCACTTTACAGCCGAGGAAGCCGAGGCTCGGGGAGGCCGAGCCAGCCCTGGCTCTAAGTGGCATTCGAGACTGCCAGGGCCTGGTGGCAAAGCTGAAGGGGCCCAGGAGTGAGAAGCCAAGCTGCAGCCCAGAGGCCCATGTCCGAGGACCGGCTCTGCACGACTCCCCGACTCCGGGAGGTGGGGGGGTGAGGGAGGCCAGGAGGAGCTGGCGGCCACCTGGAGGCCACCGCCATGCTGATCGGAACCGGAGGCATACCCTGCGGGGCCAGGCATGTCTGGTGGTGGCGAGCAGTGGGCAGGTGGCCCAGCAGTGGGCAGGTGGCCGAGCTGGCCCTGGACGAGCCTCGTCTCCCTCCTGCAGGGGACCAATAGGAGGCCAGGGCTGAGGCCACTGCGAGAGGCAGGCGTGGGGAGGTGCTGGCCTTGGCCTGCGGGGGCACTCTCATGTCCACCCCGATTCATGCTAACGAAGACTCAGTCCGACCAGAACTGGGTTCCGCCTGGCCCAGGACTGTTCATGTAGTCACCCAACAGCTATTTACTGGGCACCGTGAGGCTCAATTCCACGTCAGCTCAGCTGGGTCACGGTGTCCATGCACGGGGTCATCACTCTCTGGGTACTCCGTGAGGGGTTTGGGATGAGGTTGGAATCCAAGTCTGCACACTTTGAGGACAGCCCACTGTCCTGTAATGCGGGTGGCCTCCTCCAACCAGTGGAAGGCCTGATCCAGGAAGGAGCTGCTCCAGCAGAGCCTTCAGACTGCAGCTGAGCACCGCTCTCCTGCTTCTAGCCCTCAGCCCACCCTGCCTCTCAGTCTCTGTCACCACCTGAGACCCTCAGTCTCTGTCACCACCTGAG